AAGGTATTCCGCCAACTAATTAATATTGCATACCTGTATTAAAACTATAATATAATATTTCAATAATATAATTGCAAATATAGTATATTAAAAAAAAGTCAAACTTAATAACAAAAAGTGTTACATTGTTAGAAACAGTATCAAATATATTAATACACATAACCTAATCGTCTTCTAGGTTTTCAGCATTCGAATTAGCAGCAAACTATAATTGGATGCCGTGCCATAGAAAGGTAGAATGCCGCAACTTGTCAATCAAACTTGTAATTTGAGCTTGCATTTGGCGTATCCCTTTTTTTGATAACCATAGCATCAACAAATATTTTTTTCCCATCCTTTTCTGCCACTCACATATAAATCTGCAATTTTCTTGTTCCAACTTAAATAAACAAATTCTTTTTTTTTTTTTTTAATTTGTTGTCTCCCGAGATTTGTACTGCATGATGAGAGATGGTTAACACTTTTAACAATTGAAAGAAGATGAAAATTCAGTGCAATAACATACAAAATAACTAATACATTTGTAGTAAGGAGGCTTTGGTATCAACATAACCTGTTCTTGTTGGCAGTAGAGCCAAGAAGTCACGACCATCCATATAATGTAAACGGGGAAATCAATTTAGAAGCAGCAACTGCAATATAAAATCTCAATCAGAACATAATCTACCAGTTTACCACCAATGTATGAATGAATCCTTCGTCATCTGTGGGGTTTAGTGTGCAACTTACCATTACCAAACAGAAGGAATAGTCCCCTGCTCGACTTACTATGATTGGAAGAGTGTGCCGTAAAACCAGAAGAATCATAAACTGCAAACAATGAAATGGTAAATGTACTTTCTGCAGTTAGGTACAAATCGAATCAATAAAATTTGTTTTGGTTTTTGCATGAAAGAGAGAATTACTATAATGGCAGCTGACCGGCAACATGTTATGCTTCTTGATGCAGAGACTGCATAATCAGCATAGGTAGAATTGAAGAATTGTAATCACTTGGTGCCATTGCAAGTAGGTCAGTTCCCAATACTTAGTATTCAACATGTTAGCACTTGTCACCATAAATTTTAAGACGCAAATAATTAGAAAAGAAGACATAATCCTACTAACACCATGCGAAAAATTGACATTCTTAGTTATCCATGATCAAAATAATAAATAAATGAAATAAGACATTATGCTGCTTAATATATTCTCACTAACAAACATCTTCAACCAAGCAAAATCCTTGTAGTGCAGTTGTTAGCATATGATTAGCTTTCTAATAAAGTCTAGATGTTGAGATTGGGTTGGAATGTTGGATGCATAAAGCTGGCAAACACGAATTCATTCTAACAAACCCGATGCCTAATTCTATACTATGTTCGATCTGACTATGTTTGATTATGTTCCTATGGGTTCCCATTCTATCATATCTCACCATGTCTCCTTATCATCTCAGAAGACTCAAATTCTCAACACAAGTTGGAGCACAGTACGTATAGATAACAACAAGGAGATGTATAGTGAAAGATTGTTTATTTAGTGCAATTTGCCTACTAGTGCTATTGTTTGACAATTACATGCACTTTAATTTGCTGACAAACTAGTCAAATCAAGCAGATATTGACCTAAAACCAATTAAATTAAAACCCACTTGAAATTCTTTTCTTTTGGCCATTCTATGTTACAAATAAAAACACTGAATTACTATATACTTCCAAGTTCTAACATAACAGGCTATAAACTACTGATCAGATAGTAATATAAAGCATTCATCTAACAATGCCAACATGACCTGCAGGACATATAGAATATCAATCAACCTAGCTTTACCCTTATCAGTTATCCCTATTATGGAAGCTCAACCATAACAATAAATAATAAAGCTCAAGCAACCTGTGACTGGCAGCCGCACAGTAGTATAAAATCTAGGTAAGATCATATGCAACTAGCCTTTACCCCTTAACCCTGTTAATGCCCATTTTCTTATGTTCAAATCAAAACTATACTAAATGAAAGAAAATATTCCATTATGAAGGGCAATAATGAAATTACACTGTACAATTAATGTTTAACAGCACATTAAGTCATTAACTATAGTTTTCGTAAATCCAATCTACTGAAACCATTTCCAAAATTTCCCCCAACTTACACAACTGCTAAGTGACATAGAAGGATTATACTCCTAAATTATAACAATGAAAAACTAGAAGAAAAGCAACGTAATTGTACTGTTGTACCACTCCGGATTCCAATTGCCACTCCACAATCACAACCTGAATCTCATATTCATATTGGCATTGTCTAACTACTGAAAAATGTAGATAACTATTATGAAGTATAATTTACTAACAAAAAATGTTAATAATTTTCTCCAAACATGACCGTGAAGCCATCCTCATTTGAAATAACAAAAATTTTACAATAGAATAGAAAAACTTACATGAAAATCAAGGGCAAGCAAGGGCGACAAGGCATGTGGTCGTCTCTGAAGCCTCTTATCTCTCTACCCGTCACCGACGAGTGATGAAGAACTGAAGAGCAGTGAAGGATTGGATTGAGCGAGTAGTGAGTGAGAGCTGACGCAGAGCGGAAGGCGTGCCGGAGTAAGGAAGACCAAGGCAATTGCAAGCGTTCAGTTCACCCAGTCTTGGATGGCAAGCCAGCGACACCGAGAGTGGAGACGCTTCGGCGAGAGAGCGGCAAGTCGGCGATGCCTGAGAAGAGGAGCGGCGAACCGGCGACTGGCGAGAGCGACGATTGAGGCCTGAGGCAGAGACGAATGAGGGTGAGGCTTGAGAGGGAATTAGGGCTGGGAGCCTGAGAGGCGTGAGTTTAGATTATTTAGGCAATTTTTTTTTTTAAGAATTTAGCGATGGATTTCAGAATCCGTCGCTATATAGAGCCTGATTCTAATTTCCGTTCCTTTTCCCACAAGCTGAAGCTTTTATAATATTTTAGCGACTGATTTTAATTGGTCGCTAAATATATACGGATGTTATTTTTTACATATTAGCGATGGATTATTGATTCCATCGCTAATTATGAGAATATTTTTAAACTCTCATGTATATTTACCGATGGATTTTTAATCCGTCGCTAAAATGTTTTTAAAAAAAAATTGGCTTGAAAATTTAATGACGGAAATCAAAATCCATCGCTAAATTCTAAAAAATTGCTATATTTAGCGACGGATTTTAAAATCCGTCGCTAATTTGTAACAAATACAATTATGGAATCCGTTCGCGAAAAATTCGTCGCTAATCCGTCACAAATCTATTGCTAATTGTTGCGCCAAAATTTGCCGGTAAAATTAGTAACGTATTTAGCGACGGAAATATTCCGTCGCAATATCCATCGCAAATCCGTCACAAATTCGTCGCTAAATGTCCATTTAGCAAAAAAATTGAAATTCGTTGGTAGGTTGTCGCTATTCCGTCGCTAATTTAGCAACGGAATATGTCCATCGCTAAATTCGTCGCTATATAAGCATTTTTTTGTAGTGAGATGAAAGTAGATCATCTGGTGCACAGACAGTGTGCACCAGATGAAGTAACGGCCCTAGCCAACGGCCCAACAAGGGGACCGTTGGCTATAGCCGTGGCCGGCCGGGCCTGGGGCACGGCCCTAGGAGAGGGCCGTTGTCTAGGCCCGTCAATTTAACGGCCTGAGGGGGCGGGCCATGCTGAGCCCCGCCCCATGGTCCCTGAGTTATCTTTGTGCAGTGGTCGGGCCCTTGTGGCTCAACTACGTGTCATTTCGGGCCAGGTGTTACGGGCCCTTGTGGCTCGGTACCTCGGAGTCGTCTTGACGCACGTTTTGGTTTTGATTTCGTTGAATTTGGATTAGAAATGAGTATGTTATGGTGGATTTTTTGATGAAATTGCTTCACAGTAGTATGATTTGTGTTCACTGCCTTTGGATTTGTTGTGTGATATCTTCCTGATGCTATTTCTGAAATGAATAGAGAAGCATGATCACTTTGTGAATAAATTTTATTAGAAAAGCATGACTAGATTGTGTTGTATGATCAATGGAATTTGAAGCCTAATTTGATGATAGAATGTAAAGAGCATGTCTTGTTGCAACTAGTATGAATGTTTGTTCTTGAGAGTTCAATGTGATATATATATATATATATATATATATATATATATATATATATATATATATATATATATATATATATAGAGAGAGAGAGATTTGAAGCATGTTGTTCAGTAAATTACATTTCAAGTAAATCATGTTTTAAAAGTGCATAACTGCATAAGTGGCCAACGTGAGCCTAAGTATTATCTTCCAAAAATCTCATTCCACGTAGAGCATCTTTATTTTATTTTTGCGAATGAATTGAGAAGTATGTGCATGTCTTTTGCATAAGTTAAGTGTTGCATATATGAGATGCATGAACGATATATCTATATATATCTATGGTGAGGAAAACCTTGTTTTGGAGGACCCGTTTGGGCTACGTCCTCTCGGATGAATGTTATGGACATTGCGGTCCCAGTATATGTAACGCGGTGTATTCCCACGTTACGAGGTTGGAAACTGCACGCCAGGCTTGGAATCCTGGTCAGGGGTTGTGCACGCTAAAAGTTCGATACCTGATTCCACAGAGTTTGAGCATAGAACCAAGAGAGTGGTTCGGTGGACAAGATGAGTATTAAGTCGGCTAGACGCCGTGCCTGGATAGGTTCGTTCACAATACGGTGAAGTTCCTATCTCGTCCATTTGTAAAGAAAGCGAGTCATTGCGACTCTAAGAAAAGGAAACAAATTAAAGAAAGCGAGTCATTGCGACTCTAAGAAAAGAAAGAAAGCAAGCGAGTCCTTGTGGCTCTAAGAAACCTCCACAGAAAAGTATTCTATTTTACAAGCGAGTGTTGAGTATACTTATAGTATTGCACGAGATTGCATTTGAGTTTAGTATTGCACGAGATTGCATTGGAGTATAGTATTGCACGAGATTGCATAATGAGAACGTTTGCACTAGATTGCATAATGAGTATGATTAATCAGGATTGTATATTGAGCACGATTGCTTTAGTTGCATTTTGATATCTTATATATCTAGTTTGCAAGATGTGATCTTGAAGGCATGAAAGATAATTTCGTATGGGTTGTTAGTATGAAATTGATTGATAGCATGAGTTCGTTATGATGAGTTTTGTTATGAGAAATATGTGATGGAATATTCATGTTGATGAGTTATTTATATTTGAAGCATGTCTATTGATATTATAGGTTGCAAGCATATAGAAAGTATGTCATGTATCTTAAAGTTGTCTAAGTGTCGAGATTGCTTAATTAGAGTTGTGATAAAATGTTTTTCCAAAGTATATATTGTAGTACTTACAGGGTTGAGTGTGGTTATACTTAGCTTCATGCTAACGAGTGTTTTCTGCTTGTCTATGTGTTGTTTTGCAAAATCCCTTTTAGGTGGGCCCAACGTATGAGAGATGATCGTGTTAGACTAGCTTAGTAGATCTAGTAGTCTAAACTCTTAGTTTTATTATCATGTTGTTTATTTTGATGGATTTGTAGACTTATGTTTATGGATGTTGGATGATAGACATCGGGGGGTTTCTCCACCTTATGACTTTAATTAAGTACTTACTATGTTATTTGGATTTAATGAGTTAGTTCCATCCTTAGCCTGTGCAATCACCTTGGAGTGGTGGTTGTGGCGGTGACATACCCACTAGTTTATTCATTAAGTTGTTTATCCACTGTTTAGTTTATATTAATTTTGGTTTTAGAATTGTAATTAAGATTAAGAAAAGTGAGGTGTTACATGCATATAGCATGCTGGGAAAGCATTCACGAGGAGGAAGAATACATTTTCTTGAAGATTAAGCATCCAATAGAGAATACCTACACATTTGGTAAAGCTCTATATCATCCTTCAACTTTCTTTTGAAAAAAGAATAAAATTCTACATATATGAAAATCACACTGTATGTGTAAGTAAGGTATTAAAATCTAAGGATGGAATGGCTTAACTGCTTAATTGCTAAGTTAACAGGATTCAAAATGACTAAATGTAGTCAATCCTCCTTACTTGTGAGCTTGATGAATGTATGTGCCAAGATTATTCTTCACATCTCAGTTGCTGCAAAAAGGTGAGAGTTTATCATTGTTATTTGTTGTACATTCAATTTTCTACTTTGATGCAGAAAGGTGAGTGTTTATCATTATTATTTGATTGAACAATCAATGTTTAGTTGCGCAGGTACTAAGCTTGAAGAATTTTAGGCTTAAAACAACTACTGAAGTGCTTAATATACATTAAAAGGTTTTCAGCTTGAAGCAAGCAAGTCAAAAAGTGATGATGCAGTACAAACAGTCATGAAGAAGATTAAGAGATCAGTTACCATAGGCTGCACAAGGAATAACCATATAGATGTAAATAAAGGTATAGTTCTGAGCATAAATAATTTCACCTGAACAAAAAAGTGTCTGTTTTGACTAAATATTTTACAACTTTTGCAGGTTGGTGATTTTGTCATGTTTACAGGATAAATAGAGTGAAATATATACAATCATTTAGCTGCGGTAAATGAACTCTTAGTATATGGAGATGAAGCAGCAACTTCCATTTTTGTAGTTTTATAGCAAGTTCAACTCATAGTTATAACTTTGGCATTATTGGCATGCAAAAGAAATGAAGCCTTTTTTGTTTTAAATGGTAAGAAGGAAAATTCTTTTTTTTTTTAACTACTCAAAAAATTACTTAAAAAAACCTGATTGCCTATGAAACACTAGGAAACAACTCTGCTTTCATTTTGAAAAAAAAAAGAAAAAAAAAAAAACCTAAGGCATCAAAATTTTGATATTTTCATCGTCTAACATCAAGTTTAAAAATTTAAGTATTAACACTAATAGTTTTTATTCTATAATAATCAAGTAATAAAAATTTCATCCATCAAAAAATAAGGTTCAGAATCTGATGTCAAAAAGAAATTATATCCATATAAAACTTGTGTGTGTTTCTTTTAAGAAATCTTAACCACATTATTTAATGTCAAGAATAGGGGAACATTTAGGGTGTGTTTGGTTGGTGGGTTTTGCCCTTAGGAATGGGTATGAAAGTGATTGTTGTTGTTTGGTTAATAGGTTTTTAGAACACTACTATGGGTTTCGAATACCCCATCAATTGAAAAACCTATACCCAAATACAATAAGGGTTTTATTCCCTTATTCATTCTTAACCACTACTATTAGTAACCATTCCCATTCCACCCTACTACCAAACATGTTAAATACTTTCACTAAAACCCATTACCATTACCAAGTATTTGATACCCATTCCGATTCCGATTCTGATTCCGATTCCTATGTGCGAACCAAACACACCCTTAATTTAACTCTATAATAAAGCAAGAACTTCTTGCAATTTTCATTTTCCCGCCCATTCAATACTATGTCATTTTATGTACATAGATTACTGATCTGATTTAATTGCTTATTCACACGGTTTTACACACATTGATGATAAGGTTTAACATAGGTAATCGGCTAATTTATTGCTTTGCAAGTTACGAGTATTAAAGATGGCCAGTGCACAATATTCGAATTATCTGAGAACTCGAAAAGAGAAAAATGTAATTGAATTTACAATTTACATTTTGCACTCTGGAACTAATATTTACAACTAATAATACATATGCTATATTTCTGAAAATAAGTAATTTGAAATTTGAAATAATATTATTTCTCCTTCTTTCAACGTAGGACTCTTAGTTTCTCCAGGAAAACAGTCTGATAGCATTCCATCTCTATATATAGAGGTCGACTAGATGAAGAAGTTCAATCTGACTTCTATACAGTACATACATAATACTCTACCAAAATAACCAATGCCTTCTCAATATGTACTGGTCAAGGACATTAGTCTGCACACTATGCGAGCAATAAGAGTCATATGACGTACCAGAAATGAGAGGTGGCCCAATCATGAAGAGTAAAGAATGTATATTTCACTCTGAGAAGGTAATAATAGTTTAGAAAGCAATCTTTTTAATATTTTTCTATCATACGAATAGCAGGTTTATATAATTGAGCCATGCTTTTGTTTTTTATCATACAAATAGCAGTTATATAATATGTACTATAATAGTTTACTTTGCTCTTTATCATGTGGTACTACACCTATAAAACAACTGGACATAAGTATATGATTAAGTTCAACTATAGCATTGTTGTCAAAAAGAGTAAACAAAAACTATTCTCTACATCGATGTTTCTCTCAGGTCTTTTGAATCATTGAGTAATCTTACTATTTTAACAACTATTTTTTTTAGTACTGACACTACATACTGGACTCTTCTGCAGAAACAACCTAGATGAAAAGTAAAAACCCAAATAAGTAGTAGAAAATGTACTGACGGTAATAATGTTACCGGTAATAATAATATTATAATAACGCTATGAGAGAGAGTAACAATAGTTGTATTGCTTTTGTCTCAGTATCGAAAATATAGTGTGTCCTTTGCTAGCTGAGGAGAGCCCTATTTATACTTAGAGTCCTAACGGTAACAACAAGGGACATAAATGGGGAGCCTAAGCCTTTAACTCTCTCACTTCAATGGGGGTTTCAATGCTGGCTTCAATGACAGTAAAGGTGGCACCTGTTGGAATTCCTAATCGTTGGAGTTCTGCCCGTTGGGTTCCCATGTGATGCTGAGTCATATGCCCATTTGTGATCCGGGTCGGGTGCCAGCCTTATTATCCTGTCACTAGTCCCCCCTACTCCTGAGTCAACGGATGTGTTTGAGTTGACTTGGGAGTAAGGTTGAATCTATCTTGATCCTGTGTATAATCCTGCTTGATTTAGGATTTGTGATCTTATTTGATCCTGTGTAGAATCCTGGTTGATTTAGGATATGTGGTTTTATTTTCCAAATCCCTAATTTGTGCCTTCCAAATCCCTGATTTGTGCTTTCCAAATCCTTTCCTGCTTCACTCAACTTTTTTATCTCAGGCTCCTCTCCAATATGAACCCTTGTCTCTGAGCAGTTTGAGAGCACATCTTCAACAACTTCTGCCCCAGCTCTGTAAATCTCCGTTGTCATTATTATTTTACAATTTATTTATGTATTTAATATATATGAATATACACGTCTTGCTCCCTTTTTTTTGGATCGAGGAGCCGCGCCTCGGCCTTGGCTGAGGCGCGGCCTCAGCCTGTGGCTGAGGCGCTGCCTGGCCCTACCGAGGCGGACTTCGGCTCTTTGGGACTCGGTTCTCTTTTTTTTTTTTTTTTTTTTTTTTTTTTTTTTTTTTTTTTTTTAACATGCTCTTTTCCTGACTGGCAGTTTTTGTACCCAAGTCTTGCGAGCTTATCTGTAACAGAGGTGAGGTTAGTGTCTTTTGCTTATAATGGATGTTACTCCCTTGATTGATGTCGGAGAACTTGATTTTGATGAGGAATACCTTCTTGAGCATGATTCCCCTCTTTTTGAAAATTGTCCCCCTCTTCCGTTTGTTGTTGATTCGCTTACACCTAGGCCCCAACTGAAAAACAAGAAAAAACGCAAGGCCTCATATTCTGCTCTTGATAAGTCCCTCATCCTGTCCATACGGCCTCAACTAGGGCCACGGGATTGGGATGATATTAGTGGTCTCCTTAGTCCTGACGTTCTGACTCTCCCTCCTGACCCTCAGGGTAATATCACCGACCCACCCCTCGATAAGTATTTTGTGGTCCACCTTCTGTCGCTACAGGTTGGGCTGCGGTTTCCCCTTCATAGGTTTGTGATAGATTTTATGAACCACTACGAGATAGCCCCCGGCCAGCTTGTTCCCAATGGTCACAAGGTAATTGCGGGCTTTCTTTCTATATGTAAGGACAAAGGGATAGAACCCACGTTAGATCTTTTCCAAGCTCTTTTCATAGTTGGTAGGGCTTCTCAGGAGGGTAAGGGATTTGTCATGGTTTCGAGCAGGCCAAATTTCAAACTCTTTGAGGACCGTCCTACTTATAACAAGGATTGGAAACCCAAATATGTCTTTGTCACCCTTGTGGGTTGTCCGTCTCCCTTTCGTGTCACGTGGGGATCCCATTTACGTTGCCCTCCTACTCTTGACATGAGTCCCTCCCTCCGCCGAGATGTAGATGATCTACTAGGGGATGGTCTTTTGTCGATCGTTGATTATACTACCAAGTGGAAGCTCGCGGGCTTAGGCTTCGTGAGGGCTCATCTGGCTGTTCTTTCACCCATGGGTACTCTTCTGTTACCACTCAGTCTTTATTCATCAACCACTAACTCTAACTTGTCTTCTTTTTATTGCAGGTACCATGTCTTCATCTTCGAGAATCGGTCGATACTTGTCGCGACAGGATCCCCTCTCCAAGAAGAGCAAGGTAGAGAAGGGTAAAAAGAGTCAAGCCGAGGCCGCGGAGGTGATGCCGCCTCCGCCGACACGCACGCCGACTCCATCCAAGGTCGTTGAGCGTACGCCTACCCCAACCAAGGTCGCCGAGAGGGTGCGTACGCCTACTCCAACCAAGGTTGCCGAGGTGCAAGGAGATACTTCCACTGAGTCTGGCTCACGTGTTCGGACCAACCTGATCCGACTGGGAATGGACGTGCCACCCGGAGCGTCGTTAATAAATAAGAGTCTTGATGCGGTTGAGTATGCTGCTCGTATCGCTCCTCCTGCGGACTTGGAACACCTTGTCGCCATGGATGTCAACATGCTGCAAGAGCGTTATCTTAGACACATTTTTGAGGTAAGTTTTCTCATACTTATGTTCTTTCTCTGCCCTGGCGTGTCTTACTCCGTCTGTTACTTTCAGGCCTTGCTAGAGGGACAGATCATTCATGCCCAACTACGGTGGGTGACGGACGCGCTCATTGAGGATGTTAAAATTAGGGACGTGGACAACAAGAGCCTGAAGGACCTGCTATCGATCCGGGAAGGGGCTTTGAGCAAGATGGAAGGCAAGCTTGGGGCGCTAAGGAAGGAGCACCAAGCGCTGTTGGCCCGGGAGGAGGCTCTAAGCAAGATGGAGGGCGAGCTTGAGGCTCTAAGGAAAGAGCACGGAGCGCTTAAACTTGCCCTCACGAAGGAGCGGGAGGACCATGAGAGGACCCGTGCTGGCCATGCTGATGCCCTCGGCCGGGCTGTGGAGGTCTACAAGAGTTCAGCCGAGTTTAGAGAGGACGCCATGCACTATATGAGCACTCCTGAGGCTATCCGAGAATTCCTCAAAACTGGGGCTGGTCAAGAGGCGGTTGAGGCTGAGGCGCAGGTGGCCTTTAACATTGGAATGTAAGCAGCAGATATTTCCAGTGTTGAGGGAGAAGGTTCCAGATTTTGACCCCGTGTCCCTTGGCTTGCCTGTAATAGAGAAGAATCCTGATCCTGATGTTGAGAATGAATCCATTGATGATGTTATAGATGCTCGTGAGGATTCTTTGGTGGACGAGTTTCACGGCATCGACACTAGCAACGTCCCCAATGTTCCACTTGATCAGATTGTGATGGAGGAGCTCTCGGACCATGAGTAGTTCGTAGTCGTACTTGAGATTTTCCCCTCCTTTCTAGCTATGTCTTTGAACAATTTGCTTTCCAGTGCTTCTCTAAGTTTGAACTATTTGCTTTCTGTGTTCGAACAACTTGGTATTATTTTGGAATATTCAGAATAAACCAGTTACTTGGGAGTAAACACGTTACTTTTTTTTTTTTTTTTTTTTTTTTGCCGAGATGGACTCGGTGTTGGTCGAGGCGTGCCTCGGCCAAACTGTGGCCGAGGCGTGCGCCTCGGCCAAACCGTGGCCGAGGCGTGTGCCTCAGCCAGCCTTTGGCCGAGGCGTGCGCCTCGGCCAAACCGTGGCCGAGGCGTGTGCCTCAGCCAGCCTTTGGCCGAGGCGTGCCTCGGCCATCCAAGCTTTTTTTTTTTTTTTTTTTTTTTTTTTTTTTTTTTTTTTTTTACAACACGGGCGAACCATGAGCACGAGATATTATTTCAGAAAGTTTCGTAAAAGATGATAACGAACTTGTTTTACTAAATAACATGGACGAACCATGAAAATAAGATATTATTTCAGAGAACTTTAGCGTGTAGAGCGGACGGACCGTGATTACCAAGTACTAGTTTCAATGATTGCTACTACAGGATTTTTAAGGAAAGTACTTGATCAAATGTTCCGAGTTCCATACCCGATCGATCATTCTTCCCCCTGTAGTTTTTAACTTGTATGTTCCTGGGCGAACGACTTCTTCCACGGCGTAAGGCCCCTCCCATTTCTTTGCGAATTTTCCCCCTTCAAGGGGTTGGCTGGCTTCCCTTCTTCGCAACACAAGGTCGCCAACTTGGAAATACCGGGGTCGGACTTTTGCGTCGTGGTAGGACTTTAGCTGACGACCGTAGTTCTCCATCTTGCAAATGCCGCTTCTCTCTTTTCATCCAAGAAGTTCAGATCCACCCTTTGGTGGAGTTCATTTTATTCTGACTCGAACTCCTCCACCCTTCTACTAGGTATGATTACTTCCACTGGGGCCCGAGCTTCGAATCCATAGGCGAGTGCGAACGGGGTTTCTCCGGTGGCCCTTCTTGGTGTCGTGCGATAAGCCCAGAGGATGCCGTCGAGTTCCTCCACCCAGGCTCCGCCGGCTACTTCTAGCTTTTTCTTGAGGCCGTCGAGGATGGTTCTATTCGCATTCTCCACTTGCCCATTCGCCTGAGGATAAGATACCGCCACCCGGCTATGCTTAACGCCCCATCCTGCTAAGAATTCTGAAAATTCTCGTGCCTCAAACTGACGACCATTGTCTGTGATTACCTGGAGAGGGATACCGAAATGATACATGATGTTTTTCTCGACAAACCTTTTGCACCTTGCTGCGGTGATGCTCGCCAGGGGCTCGGCCTCCACCCATTTCGTGAAATAGTCGATGGCCACAATGATGTACTTCCTGCTTCCAGTCCCCGTGGGAAGGGCCCCTACCAGGTCAATTCCCCATCTTGAAAAAGGAATCGCGGTGCTTACCGGTGTGTAATTCGTCGCAGGTCAACCCGGTAGTGCTTGGAATTCTTGGCACTTGGGACATCGCTTTGTATACTCGGCGCAATCCCTCAGCATTTTGGGCCAAAAATACGCTTGTAACATGATGCGCCGTGCAATGGTGTATGCCCCTTGGTGCGCGGAGCATACCCCCTCGTGGACTTCTTTTATCACCAACTTGGCTTTTTCTGGATATATACACCTCAGTAACGTGCCATTGTAGGAGTGTTTGTACAGCTTATCGCCCGAGACAACGCAGCTGGGTGCCCGTAACTTCGTTACTTTTGCGTCTGCCTCGTCTTGCGGTAGGGTGCCATCTGCCTTGTATCGCTTGATATGATCAATCCAACATGGCTCCCTAGTCTGCACAGGGAAGACCCACGAAACGTCGATACTTGAAGTCTCGAGGTCTTCTAGTCGAGCGATTTTCCTAATGTGGCCGGGGACTCCGGTACTTAGCTTTGAGAGCATGTCAATGTTGGCGTCCTGCTCTCTCGGTACCTGGTGTATCTCATATCCCTCAAACTCGCGCAGGGTTCTTAACACCGCGTCTCTGTATTTCTGCATACTTCCTTCGTTGGCTTCATACTCCCCAGACACCTGGCTGACTACCAGCTTTGAATCGCATCGAATTTGGACCTTTTCAGCTCGTAGTCCCGCCACCAACCGCAGTCCATTGAGGAGGGCCTCGTACTCCGCCTCATTGTTAGATAACTTGAAGTGGAACCGGATGGCATAGTAGGTGCGGAATCCTTCCAGAGTGACGAGTACTACGCCGCAACCTTTGCTGTTGGAAGAACCGTCTGTGGACAAGGTCCACCACCCTCCATCTTCAGTTTCTACTTGGTCCGTCACTTCCCGAGCTGTGCACTCCACTATAAAGTCTGCAAGAGCTTGGCCTTTGATGGCGGGCCTTGGTTTGAAGTCTATGTCAAACTGACTGAGGTGCATGGCCCACCGTGCCATCCTGGCGGAGCTGTTAGTATTCCGGAGGAAACTCCCCAACGACTGGTGTGAGAGTACGTGGATGGGGTGAGCTTGGAAGTAGTGGGCCAACCTTTTTGATGAAGTGACTATGGCAAATACCGTTTTCTCCAACACACTGTACCGGAGCTCCGCGTCGTGTAGGGCTTTACTCACGTAGTAGATGGGACGCTGAGTTCATCCTTCTTCTTTGACCAGCAGGGAGCTGATCGCACCCTGTGACACGCCCAAGTACAAGATTAGGGCTTCACCTGCCTCTGGCTTTGCAAGCAGGGGCGGGGACAACAAGTATTTTTTCAACTCCTCGAAGGCCTTTTGACAGTCTGGCGTCCACTCGAACCCTTTGCTCTTTTTCAAGATTTGGAAGAAGGGGAGGGAACGTTCAGCCGATTTAGATAGAAGACGGCCGTTCCTAGTGACCATGAAGCCCAAAAATTTATCCCCATCAATGGCAAAGGTGCATTTTTTTGGATTCAAGCGCAAATTAAATTTCTTCATAATGGAAAATACCTCGCTGAGATCCTCGACATAGGAGGTGGCCTTACGACTTTTGACGATCATGTCGTCCACGTATGCTTTCCATGTTTCATCCAATACCGTCTTGAACAGCTTTGCCACCATGCGAGTGTATGTGGCCCCGGCAACCTTCAATCCGAATGGCATGACCAAGTAGCAGAATATCCCCTCGCGAGTGGTGAAGGCGGTCTTTTCGGCGTCCTCCTCATACATGGATATCTGATGGTACCCACAGAAAGCGTCCATGAAGCTCATGAGTTCACATCCTGCCGTCTCATCCACCAATTGATCTATATTGGGTAGTGGAAAACGGTCCATAGGGCATGCCCTATTGAGGTCCGTGTAGTCCATGCACATCCTCCACGTTGATCCTTTGGGAGCCAAGACTACGTTGCTCAGCCACTGTGGGTAGTAAATCTCCTTGATGTGCCCCACGTGGAGTAACGCGGTCACCTCCTTTTTCACGAACTCTCTTCGTTCTGCTGACATATACCTTTTTCGCTGATGCACTGGTTTTCCGCTGGGGTCGACTGCGAGCTTGTGGGTTATGATGCTTCGATCTATGCCCGGCATGTCCTCTGGCGCCCATGCGAACACTGCGTGGGAACGGCGGATTAAATCCACTATCTGGGCCCTTAGCTCTGGGCTTAAGCCTGTGCCGATCTTCACCACTCGGTTTGGTCTGGAGGGATCCAGAACTATATCTTCCGTTTCTGACGCGGGCTCGGTGCAGGGCCAGGCCCCTTCTTCTTTGAAAATTTTCTCCTCGATCGTGTGGACCTGTAGGTCCTTACTGCCAATCTTCTTGCATGCCTTCACGTAGCAACTGCGGGCTGCCTGTCGGTCCCCTCTGACGACTCCTATTCCATTCGGAATAGGGAACTTCATACACAAGTGTTCCACCGATACTATGGCCTTGAGGTCCTCTAGTGCTGGCCTCCCCAGTATGATGTTGTGCGCACAAGTGAGTCTTACCACGATGAACTCCATGTCCAGCTTGTGAATGTTGGGGCTCGTGCCTATCTCCACGGGCAAGGTCACCGACCCTTCTGTTTCCACCGAATCCCCAGTAAACCCAAAGAGTGGAATTCGTACCTCTTTGAGCTGGCCTCTAGGTAGCCCTAACTTGGTGAAGGCGTCGTAGTACATCACATTGACCGAGCTCCCTGTGTCGACCAAAATACGGTGTACGATCATATCATTGATGTCCATCTTAATCACTAGTGCGTCGCGATGGGGTAAGGGACCCTCGGGGAAGTCCTCGTCGCCTCTGCTTCTTTCCTTTGGGAAGACTTACCACTTCTCCCACGTACAGTTGTCTGCTCCACTTCTTCCGTTCTGTGGGTGTGTTGCCCCTTGTAGGTCCACCATAGATAAAGTGTATGGTGTGCTTCCTTTGTCGTCTGGGCGCTATCTCAGTTTCCTTCTCGCTATCATCCTGCTCAGATATCTGGTCATGTTCTCTTTTCTTGGCGTTCGAGGTGGACGGCTCGGCGCCATCCTCCTTCCTCCAGACATTTTTTGGTGGATTTTTTGATGGATCGTGTTGCGGCTATTGCTGCTGCTTGGATCGATTGACAAAATGCCGGAAGTAGCCCTGCTGGATGAGTTCTTCTATTTGCCTCTTCAGCACGTTACATTCATCCGTGTCGTGCCCGGGTTGCCTATAGAACCTGCAGTACTTTGCTTGGTCTCCTTTTGGGGAGACCTTCATGCACTTTGGTGGGAACTCGACTATTCCCATCTCCTCAGCCTGTTTTAGGATGACACTGACGGGATGGGTAAGAGGAGTTAGGTTAAGCAGGGGAACCAGGCAAGGCCGTTCATGGTCCCGGCCTTTCCCTGCGGCCGGGTGGTTCAGACGTGGTGCCTGGCTGGACGGACCAGCTTTCCCAGGTTTCCCATTTTTCCTGCCGTCCTCCTCATCTTTCTTTTTCCTGTCGACGTCCTCTGCTTCGGCATAGCGGCTAGCCGTGCTCATCAGATCTTCGTAAGAACGGGGGTGGTGGGCATTCAGTTGCTTGTGAAAATACCCCGATCTCAAGGCATGGATGAATATCAGGATCGCCGCCTTGGAGTCGAAGTCATAGACATTATTGACTTCCTTTTTCCATTTGATTAGGAAGTCTTTGAGGCTCTCGCCTCTATCTTGCTTTACTACACAGAGATGAGAGAAGGGTTTCTTACGCTGTATGCTACCAGAGAAGTATGTCAGGAAGATTTTGGACAACTCCCCAAAGCTTTGAATTGACCCGTCCGGGATGGTGTTGAACCAGTCTTGGGCTGTTCCATCCAGGGTGGACAAGAACGCTCGGCAAATGATGGCGTCCCCTGCCCCGATCATTACCATAGCAACCTTGTACCTCGTCATGTGGACACGTGGGTTAGTGGCTCCCATATACGCCTTGATGGCGGGTAACCTGAAGTCCCTCGGCAGAGGTACGTCCATGATGCTTGAGGAGAACGGTGCTACCATCCGTACCTCGGGTTCTGGCGACTGCTCCCGGGCCTCCACCCTTCTTGCTAACTCCTCGATCCTTCTTTGTAGCCTCTTGACGAGGGTCGACTCGTCAGGGTGCCGGCGCGGGACCGGTTGTCGCTCCTCTATGTGTCGGCGTGGGGCTAGTTCATCGACGTGTCGTCCATCTGAGTGTCGACGCGGAGCTGGTTCCTCGACGTTTCGTCCACCCAAGTGTCGGTGTGGAACCCGCTCATCAACGTGTCGCTCACCCGCTGAGTGCCGACGCGGAGCCGGCTCATCGACGCGCCGCTCCGCCGAGTGCCGACGCGGGGCCGGTTCATCAAAGCGTCGCTCACCCGAGTGTCGACGCAGGGCCGACTCGTCACCGTGCCGGCGCAGGGCCGGTGTGCTGCCATCCGTACCTCGGGTTCTGGCGACTGCTCCTGTGCCTCCACCCTTCTTGCTAACTCCTCGATCCTTCTTTGTAGCCTCTCGATGAGGGTCGACTCGTCAGGGTGCCGGCGCGGGGCCGGCTGTCGCTCCTCTATGTGTCGGCGTGGGGCTAGTTCATCGACGTGTCGTCCATCTGAGTGTCAACGCGAAGCTGGTTCCTCGACGTTTCGTCCACCCAAGTGTCGGTGTGGAACCCGCTCATCAACGTGTTGCTCACCCGCTGAGTGCCGACGCGGAGCCAGCTCATCGACGCGTCGTTCCACCGAGTGCCGACGCGGGGCCGATTCATCGAAGCGTCGCTCACCCGAGTGTCGACGCAGGGCCGACTCGTCACCGTGCCGGCGCGGGGGCGGTCCACGAGACTCGCCCATCCTTTCTGTGGGCGACCTTTCCGCTTCTCTTTCCTCGTGTCGGCGAGGGCCTCTAGCGGAGGACCCCTCAGCACGTGACTCTGGCCTTTGCCGAGCGGGCGCCTCGTGTCCCAACCGTTCCAGGGCAGAGCGGGAGGGTCCAGGTTGCCGTCTGGCCGGACCGCTTCTTTGGGTGCCCTCTCCTGGTACCCCTGTCCTGGTGCGACGCCCTGCGTCCCTCACTACACGGGTTGCATCCCAGGCATCCGCTCTCTGTGGGGATTCTACCTCTATTTCCTGAGGTCGTGGCGGGACTACTTGGCCTTGGAGTCCCACTGCCACCTGATTTAGTGCCGCCGTCACTGCTTGCTGAATGGTCGCCTGGAGGTTCACGACTTGGTTCACCCCTCTATTGTTGAGTTGGTCTCGGAGGTCCCCTCCATTGTTGAGTTGGTCTCGAAGGTCCCCTCCATTGTTGAGTTGGTCTCGAAGGTCCCCGGGCCTCCCGTTGTTGCTGTTCTCGGAGGTCCTCTCCGTAATTGTTGGTGAGTTGGTCCCGGAAGCCACCTGAGGCATTGCCATTGTTCACGTTGCGGGAACCATGGGAGCTGCGGGACACCATTCTTTCAAGCTTGCTGTTGAAAGAGGAATGAGTTGTGTGTGTCGTAGCCTGCTTGAGTATTGGACTCAGGCTCTCAATGAAAGCACCAATGACGGTAATAATGTTACCGGTAATAATAATATTATAATAACACTATAAGAGAGAGTAACAATAGTTGTATTGCTTTTGTCTCAGTATCGAAAATACAGTGTGTCCTTTGCTAGCTGATGAGAACCCCATTTATACTTAGAGTCCTAACGGTAACAACATGGGACATAAATGGGGAGCCTAAGCCTTTAATTCTCTCACATCAATGGGGGCTTCAATGCTGGCTTCAATGACAGTAAAGGTGGCACCTGTTGGAATTCCTAACCGTTGGAGTTCTGCCCGTTGGGTTCCCATGTGATGCTGAGTCAGATGCCCATTTGTGATCCGGGTCGGGTGCCAGCCCTATTATCCTGTCATGTACTTTTTAAAAATATAGATTAGGAAACTGATTGTATTAGAAGGTCAATAGAATATTCAGTTGTCAGCTGCAGAGACATATTAGCTATTAGGAATCTGAAAAAGTTTTTAGACTCGGAAAAAAAAAACTAACAGTGCAGAAGTATATTAAGCAAAACTTTGTATCAGCTGTTAGGAAGTTAATTAGAGTAGATGGTTGTCCAACAATAATCTTTTGGAGTGGAGAGTAGATTTCGACAACCCTTCCCACCACATCTTTAGTAATAGAAGATATAATTATCAAAAACCATTTAAAGTTCTATTCTAAGAAGATATTTGCATATTTTCTTACCAAAAAGCTCATTGTCATTCACATCATCAAGATCTCTTCATCCACGCAGTTCTGGGACTGAAAGCCTTAACTGATACATAGAGAATGCATTTTTTTAGTTTTTCTTGCAGAGTATTGCCTATACGATTCATAAGATGAGGCTGAAATAGTTGGTATCAATCTACCTCTTTATATAGAGGTAGAATTCGAACAGGACTCAACCTAGAGAAACGAAGAGTCTTCATTGGAACAATGTTCTTAATTATGTTGTTTCAATTTCAAAGTCTTTATTTTAAATTTTATTTAGATCAGTTCGAATTTGTAATATATAATGTTATTTGCTTATAGCATTAAGAATTCGTTCTCCAAGAATTTTTGGTAATTACAATAGATCAGTTTGAATAACGCATAGTTGCCATCTTTATTGCTCGGTAATTACAATAGCATTAAATTAGCAGTCTAAAGTCATCATTAAATAGCGTAGCAAATCAGAACTCAAATTGCGCCTCATTAAACGTTGCCGTTTCATGTGGGCGGGTTTTTTTTTTTTTTTTTTTTTTTTTTTTTTTTTGGGCAAAAACTTCTTACTTTATTATAGAGTTAGATTAGATTGTCAATTTGTCACTAAAATAAATGTTTGCAACTTTGTAATAACACTAGTCTAAAAACGATAGTCTAAATAAATACCACTTTTGATTTAAATTTCTCTAATTCTTCCTAATTCTCTTTTGGGTAGCATTATCATTGTCTTCATCACATGTCCTTTTTTTTTTTTTTTTCTTTTTTTTTGTTGTTGTGTGTCATGTGCAGTTGGGTTACTGGTGGTAGCATAGATGGATTCTTCATGCAATGAGATTTATGGTGTAGGAAGCTTTAGATTTGCCTTGTTGTATATATGGTGGGATCTTAGTTGTACTGTTAACTCTTTATCTTACAAGCACCTATTGATATTTGGTAGTGGTAGTTTTTCCCCTACATGTTTCATGCGTTGTGAGATGTTTGTCGTAGGTTATCATGTGAAAGTATTAAACAAAATATTAATATTTATTATATTTGTATAAAATATTTGATAAATAAATATATATAACATATTTTGTATTATAACTTTGGTATTAATTACAGGATAATGTAAAAAGAACACAATGGATAATGTAGTGAATATAATAAATTAATAAATTTGAAGGCAATGAATATTTGAATGGTAGAAAATAAAGATAATATAACTAATTAAATTATATATCTTTTAAATTTGTTATAATAAATATTTTTTTTTTTAAATAAAGGCATTATAGACAACTAATTCTAAATTAATTAAATGCATATGTATTATTTTTTGTTGTAACTACTAAATTATTTTTTAGATGATAACTACTAAATTATTTAATTTAATAAAAATAATAAAGTGTGTACATACTTTTTATCAACAATAATGAAATCATTGATTTTTTTTTTAAAGGAAAAAGTGTCAAATTAGCCCCCTAGTCAAGCGGATTATGTCCCCTAAGTGAAAAAAGCTCCATTCAAGTCCCTAAATCGATAAAATTGTTCAATTAAGTCCAATTTGACTTGTTTATCAGGTTAAATCGATACGATGTTGACACGTGTCATTATTTTATTTATTTTTAAAATGTTTTTTATTTATTAAAAATTAAAAATATTATTTATTATAAATAATTTTATATAAAATAATTAATTAAAATAATTTTTTTAAAAAAACTAGAACCGCCGGAGACGAATCGTCTCCGACAGATCTAGTTTTTTTTTTTGAAAAAAAAAATAAAAATTATTGGCTTGTATTAAAATGGTATATATAATTATAATTGATAATTAAATTTATTTATTAATCAGTGATTAGTGATTTAGTGATAGGTTAACTAATTCATTAACATCTATCTAATAAATAAATAAAAGCTATAATAAAAAAAAGGTGTTTTTCATTTCAAAAAAAAAAAAAAGGTGTGAAGGTATCACAACAAGAAATGCGAAATTTCCAAATTAAATTTAAAATTGAATAGTATACAAATTGAAGCACCCTCGGAAGTCGACATATTTTGTACGTTTTCGAACCCTGATTGGCTCATTATTTAAAAAAATATAAAATAAAAAGATATAGAAATCGAACCATCTAGAAGCGAGAATTGTGGGACACAGCCCAGACGGAATATGTTTGTCTATATATACATTTAAACCCTAAAAAATTTAAGACATTCTTCACTAAATCCATTTTTTAGTCTGAGGCGGCGAAGCGATACCGTCTGGAAGTGGTCCGCTTCATTTCGCTATACAGAGAAATCGCGATCGAGGAAACAAGCCAAGAAGTCGGCACTTTTCCTTGTCGATGGTGCCATTTTCGCTGTTTAGATTTCTCAATCGCGTTTCTTTGTATAACGAGATGGATCGGACCGTAAAATTTCTTATACCTTCGTTTTCTGTGATCTATTTGCGCTTGCGTGTGTATATACGTATATTCATTATATTTGTTTTTATGGTTTTATATAAGAATAGAGATTGAATCTGCAAAGTTTTCTGGTGCGAGTAAATATTTGTTTGTAGCCCTACATCAGAATGCTGGCAGATCTATTAAGTGGTTTTGGAGTTTTTAGGTTTTGGTGTGGAGTTATCTTAAATTTATACATGTATATATCTCTGAGGACAGTAGATCTTGTGCTATGTGCCTGAAATCTCATTTTTTGATGTGTTGATAGTGAAAAAATTGACAAACTCAGAGGTGAACTGTTGCCCTACTTTATTAAGAGGTGCATTTTCAAGGAGGTGTTAATGGTAGATCAAAACTTTCTATAAACCGCATAAATGTCAGATCTGTCTTTTTTTTTTTTTTTTTCCTTTTTTCTTTTTAAATCTGGAAAGGGTTCCAATCATGTTCGCAGAGGGTTATGTCTATTTACAAAGAAGTTTCCGTTGTGTTTCATATATTCCATGCGAGGGTTAAAATTTGCTTCTGCAAAATATATTTTCTCAGTTTCTTTATTGAATCTGTGATGTGTTGATTACTTAGAATTCTATGTCTGTGATGTATCATTTAGCAAGTGTTAAAATATTTGGGTTGAGAATAGTCTTAAGATGATGTTTAGCCATTTTGTGTGGAGCAATATTGCAGTAGTTTTTGTGAAGATGATGTATGTTTGTTCTGATTTAACTAGAAAAAAAATTGTAGGTTACAGCCTACACAGGAGTTTTACGCTCTAGAGAGTTTATGTATCATGGCCCTAATTATATTTAGTACATTTATCATTTTTCTTTTTGTATTGAAATGGGGCCGGGGTTATTTATGTGTGGATAGGGGGAATTGACCGAAATTTGTATTCTTTCTGTGGTTAGGGGAAATTGACAGAAATTGGTATTCTTTGAAATTAGTAGGCAAAAATTAAATTACTTTTGAAATATGAACAAATTTAGATAAAATTAGGTTGACAAATGCAATAGTAGTGTTCCCATATGGTATATACTTTGAAGCAGGGGTGGTTCGGTTTATCCGAATCGAACCAAGCTGAATCGAACCAAACTATTAATAGAAAATTGAATGGTTTGAGATTTTGTAATTTGAACGGTTTAGAACCGAACTGAAACTGATCGGTTTGGCAAAAACTGAACCAAATCGAATGTTATATAATATTTTTTAATAAATAATATAAATAATAATAATAATAAAGAAGTAAATTCATGTTCCTTGATGCCTGCTTTGTCGTTCAGTTCTTATTCTTACTGGTACCGAACCTTAAATTTTTTATTTGATTTTTTTTAAAGATATTTATAGCTTGTTTTCTATATTGCACTTTTGTTGTTTGTCGCAATTGTTCTTTACCTCATAATTATATCTAACTTGAGTTATATTTACAATATTCAATATTTTCTTTAGTTTCATGTTTTTTTATAAATTTAATGTGCTTTATGGTTATTTTAATTTTGATTTTCAATGCACTATAATTATTTTCCAGTACACTATAATTATTTTCTAGTACTTGAATATATTTCGAGTGCACTAGCAATGATAAATTGTGTTTAAAAATTAACTATATAGTAATTGACACTTGTTCTTTTAATAGTTCTTTTAATATCAACTATACAGATAGATGATTATTCATCTTATGAATAAAAATATTCCAACTGAACTAACTGAAGAGTTGGTTGTGGTTGTGCAAAAACGTTAATTGATGTTTGGTAATTAGTACTTAGTATTGTGTTTGAACTTTGGATTGCTGTTTTGTTATATAATGTTTAGAGTTTGAATTTGTACTATGTGAATATGTATTATTTGGTAATATGTTTGAAAAATTAGAAAATGTTAAAATTTGGAGATCTTAAACCGAACTGAATTAAATTCGAATCAAAATTGAACTGTTTCAAATCGAATCGAAACCGAATTGAACCTTAATTTTTTTTTTTTTTAAAAAAGAATTGAACCTTAATGTTAAACCGAACGATTTAACTTTTTTAAAATCGAAACTGAAACCGAAAAAAAAAAAAAAATCGAATCGAAATTCGAAACGTCCACCTCTACTTTGAAGCAAACAAATTGTATATGCGTTTGAATTATTATTACTTTTATTTAATACTCATTTATTATTAATGCAATTCAACTTTTTCTTTTTTACATACTATTCAATATTTTAATCTAACTTTTTTTTTTTTTTTTTTTTTTTACACATACAATTCAAACAAACCTTGATAATTAAATTTGACACATCAAAAAGATAGAGGGAGAGGGAGGTTTTTTTTTTTTTTTTTTTTTTTTTTTTTTTTTTTTTTTTTTTTTTTTTTTTTTTTTGTGTTGTTGTTGTTGGTCTCCTGCTATAAATTCAACTTTGCCAAAAAGATTCATTAAGGGTTTGTTTGGAAAGTTGAAAAATGACTTCTGGAAAATGTTTTTCGAAAAATGAGTCATTTTTTCAAAAAACATTTTCCTTTCTCATGTTTGGCTGCATAGTAGAAAACTGTTTTTGTGTGTTTGGTTGATTTTTTAGAAAATGATATAGAATTGTATAATTAAATATTTTATATAATTAATTATTAATTATTTTGTTTAAAATATAAAACATTTATAATAATATTATAAATAATAAATAATAATAATTTTTTTTTAAAATCACATAATATTATTTATTAAAAGAAAAAAAAATGACGGAAATCAGAAAGTTTTTATTTTTGCCGTTCTCTCTGGTTTCTTACTCTCTGGTTTTCGGTCGGAAACCAGAGAGAAGCTCTCTCTGGTTTTTGGCTGGAAACCAGAGAGCACTGCCCTCTGGTGTGTGGCCAGAAATGCCCTCTGGTGTGTGGCCGAAAACCAAAGAGCACTGCTCTCTATTGTTCGGCCAAAACCAGAGACAAATTGATTTTCTTCCGGAGCGTAAACGACCCATTCGAAAAATGATTTCCCCCTAAAAAAAGGGGAAATCATTTTTTGGAAAAATGGTGTGATTTTTCATTGATTGGGACTGATTTTCCTTTGACTTTTCATTTTCTTGCCTAGCTAAACACTAAAAATTCAAAAAATAATTTTCAGAAATCATTTTCTGAGTTTCCAAACACACCCTAAAACCAACCCCTCCCATTAGCTATAATCCTCATTATTGTTCCAAAAATTGAGTATGATTCATTAGTGGTGGTGCTCTTATAGATCATGGTTGTGGACTCTGAATTTTTGATAAATAAATATTTTTAATATAATATTAATAATGAGTCTTTGTCACAATGGCTTATGGTATAATGATTGATGATTGATTGTTATTGATTTGTGAAGCTTGTGGTTCAAGAACGCTTTTATGATTTCGATAAATTTTGACATTGTACAATGCCAAGCTTGAATGAAAATAATAACTTGATCCAACTAAACAAATTGGGTTGGTCTCCTATAACAGTGTCTTGCGGGTCCCAATATGTGAAACAAGTCAAATATAATAAAAATGGGCCATTTTCAAAAAAAAATAATAAAAATGGGCCATAATAAAAGTCCATATGTAATCTATACTTCAATCCTTATATATAAAATTGTACAATCGTTATACCCTGCACCACGGCGTACAGTGCATTGTGCGCCTCGCACTTTCCAAAACGATATCGTTTTGGGAGGCGCAGTAGGAAGTTGACATGATTATGTATATTTGTTTATATAGTTATGTAAATTTTTTATTATGTACATTTTTTTATACAATTTTGTACATCTGAATCTGGAAATTTTTGTGTATTATGTTAAAAGGTTATGTTTATTATGTATTATGTATTATGTTAGATTATGTGTATTATCTTTTAAAAAAGAGTATGTGTATTTTGTTATATAATTATGTACATTCATGTATACAATTATGTGTATTTAGTATAACATTATGTACATTTTTGAACATGGAATTTTTTTTTTAAAAGAAAAATTAACTGGCAAACACTGGGTACGCAAAATTTCAAAAAAAAAAATAAAAAATTGAAACGATGTCGTTTTTCATCTAGGCGCACAATGCAACCCGCGCCGTGGTGCAGGATATAAATTGCCAAAATTGTACTCGTAATAGACAATTGTAAAGAATAAAGTAATAATACTTCAAACCTTATATATATTATTAATTTTTTCCGTGCATTGTGCGAATGAGATAATGTTAATGTTTATATTTAAATAAGTATATTTTATTGAATACGTAAATTTTGTATTAAATAAGGTTAGTTAATCTATGCTAACTATCATGTAGTGTGATGACATCTTAGGCAAATTATATCGTGCACTGCGGTGCATAATCGATATAACTACAGTTTCATTTCGATATAACTACAATTTCATTTGATATTTATATACTCAAATATGTGAAAATGTTATTTAATTTTATTTTATATACACTATAGTTTCATTAAAACACAACTACATGATCATTTCGATATAACTACATCTTCATTGCACAATATATACTCAAATATGTGAAATGTTATTCAGTTTCATTTTATATACACTATAGTTTCATTTCAACACAACTACAGTATCATTTTGATATAACTACACTTTCGCTGGGTAATATACACTCAAATATGTGAAATTGTTATTCAGTTTCATTTTGTATACACTGCAGTTTCATTTCGATACTTGCATTTTCACTGGAGGCGGGCTTACATTCTTTGGGTTGAAATTGTTTGAGAAAATATAAAACGGATATATTACTTTGTAAAGAATCTTAAATATTTCAAAAAAAAAAGTTTAATTAATATATCACTAATTTATGAAAATAAAAAAGTTTCACTTTTAATTGACACACGAACCGTGAGAGACTTGAATCCTCATTTACCAAATGCAGGATATTTTCTGGTTTTTCTATGAATTTTTTTAATAGAAACGTTTGAAAAAAAAATCAAAATCAAAATTATTTTGAATATCTATAAAAGTTGTGAAACATACCGTAAAATATGATAGGAATGGATGAAGAGTTTGTTTGATTCAAACAAGAAGAAAAAGTTTGTAAGAAAAGTTTAGGATCGGAGCCTTGGAGGCATAGATGGAGCCAAAGGGGGGCAGTTGCTCCCCCTCACCCCACCCCACTCCCACCTCATCCCACCCCCTCTCCATATATAATTTTTGTATGTATATATGTATATATAGTACATTTTTTAGTATTAGTATATAAAAACTGTTAATTGTTAATAAGAAATGTGTTAGATTAGTTGGTAGAACATGCATTTGGTTATAATATAGGGGTTTGAATCCTTTAGTAATATAGTATTACACTTTTTTGGCTTTAACACACTCACGTTTTAATAGTTTTTTTTTAATATTTGATACACACATCTACTATATATATGTATATATATATATATATATATATATATATATATATATATATATATATATATATATATATATATTAATAAGAGCCCAAGAGAGTTAGGCCTATAATGGGTAGAAAAAATGGCGGTCACAGATTTTAATCAAATGAATGGCTCAGATTGATTAAAAGATTGATCAGATTTAAATTTTACACTAAAATTTCCTAAAATACCCACACCGTTACTAATTCCGTTAAAATTTTAAGAATTGCCGTTAGTTCACCGTTAACTTACTCATTGATTTCAATAAAAAAAAAAAGTCTTAGGTTCGAACCTCATCCCAATCAAAGTTGGCATAATTAGTACTCTATTTTACTCTAATTAAATTATATATATAAATAATAATTTAGTAGTTACAACAAAAAATAATACATATGCATTTCTTTAATTTAGAATTATGTGTCCACAATTCCTTTATACAAAAAAAAAATATTCATTATCAATAAATTAAATAAGA